ACCTAGAAATCTATGAAATCTATGAAACTTATCGGTCAAGAGGAAACTGTGATGAATTGCCTTCTTAGCATATACTTTTCCCCTCTGTTCAGCTTGTTCTTTCTGTGATAACTGTTCCTCCGTCCACCCTATAGGTGCCTATAGAACCTCTTCACACAGGTTTGCCAGAGGGTCCCTGCATGACGTAATGCCATATCTGATAACTAATTGCCCACAAATTACAACTTTAGTTGTTTGTATGATAGCTAGTAGCTATTGTTGGTAGCATACCCTTGCTTTCCTCATTAGTAATTAGCATTTTGTTTATTTATGTTATGATTTTAGTAATTTATTTAAGCTATCATTTGAATACATTCCAACATGTGACTATATTACCAACAGTTACAGTTAGAAAAATAGCAGTTTTGTTTCTGGTAGTATGATCAGAAGGCAAAAGCCAACTAAAACATGAATTTATCACATCCAGTCTTGAGCTTGGCATAAATGTATGTATTTAAACCTACAGCTTTTATAAAAAAATCTTCTTGAGAGCAGATTACTGTTTTAAAATTACTGGAATGGGTTTATGAGAATAGTTTTCTTTTTCATTTCTACTTAATAGCAAAATAGATTAAATCTTGATTTTAATGTGTTTCCACAGGTATATCTTGAAAGACTTTTAACTTATGCAGAGATAGATATTTGTCCAGCAAACTGGAAGCGAATTGTACTGGGTGCAATTCTACTGGCATCCAAAGTTTGGGACGACCAGGCTGTGTGGAACGTGGATTACTGCCAGATCCTGAAAGACATCACGGTTGAAGACATGTGAGTGCCATATGTTTATCTTTGTCAATGAATGCCAAGATCTGTGTGTACGAGGGCCACAGGAAGTTCTCTCATAAATGATATAAAGTTTGCATACCTGTGTTGTATCTAAACGTGGTGGATGCTGGTAGATGGCATGAGGTCTGCTTGACAGTTGCTTACATAGAAGATATGAATTATTTTTGTTTTCTAGTTGACGTGTTTTACCACTGGATGTTCGTGCACAGTGATGAAAGCAGACCTGCAGAATATTCAAATGTATGACTTCACAAAAAAACCCACATCCTGTGAGCCTCCGTGCGTTCACTTCAGCAACTTTTACTATCAAGCTAGTTCTCCATACAGACAATAGACCAACATGTAATGCAGGCAAAAAAATCGTTGTGATCCTAATGACCCTTAAATGATCACCCACCTATTTATTGCCATTATTCAAAATCAGTTGGATTTTTTTGGGGTTGTGTTTGGGTTTTTTTCCCCTTGTATCCTGCTGCATTTGTTTCCAAGATGTTAAAAATCTAGCATTTTACCTTGCAAGGAGAAATTCTCATTTTTCCATTTTCCTGTCTGTTGGCATTTTTAAGAAGTGCATACAGTAACAGCATAGAGAGTTGTGGTATGTGGCTGGATACTCCTGATCATATTAAGAGTATATTCCAACAATAAAAAGAACTGTAGTAAGAATAGACACAATTAAGATCTTCATGTTTACAAGTACTGAAATGAATGCTCATTTCACTAAATACTTGAGTGCTTTTTTTTGGTTGGTTGATTATCAGGTATTGCATCTACTGGCTGAAGTGCCTGGGGTTTTTATAATCGATACGTTCAGGGCCGAGAGACATACTACGCACGCTTTCCAAGGTGCCCTTACCTGAGCTGGTGTGCGTGCGGGGAGCGGTACTGGAAGGGCTGCAGTTGGAATTGGCGCTGGGATGGTGCCGGTGGGGGCAGGGCAGGTGCCTCAACAGGCCACTCTGGCTCTTGCATTCATGGAGTGAACTTTTCATTCCACTCGTGCACTCTTTTTTTTTTTTTTTTTTTTACGAGAACTAATAACAATAGAATCATTAAAATATGATTTTGTACAGTATGTTTCAAAGCTCTTTTAAGCAGAGCTAAGTATCTGTAATGAGAATTATATAGACTTGTCTCTGCTTTAACTCGCTTAAGTCAGGATCGCGGCCACTGAGGAACGTTTGCTGTGGGTTAAGCACTCTGGAAGGAGGGAAGTAGATGAGAAGAAATGTTTATATAGACAGAATGTTTTTTTGAATGTTTGCCATCTCAAAGCAGTGAAAGGACAAGCGTTTTTTGCTAAAGCGGCCCTAATTTAGTTTCATAATAGTTAGCTGTTTGATTTATAGCTGGTCTAAAAATGATCTGTAAGGGAAAGACTGAATGTTAAGAGTCAGCTGATTGCTTTAAATTAAGCACGTTTGTATGCTGCTAGATAAGACTTATAAATTGTAAGTAGCTGTCATTGCTCAAGTATTGGAAAAGTTATCTCTAAATCTTGTATTAACAAGCAATTTGTAATAAGGTGGGTTTTTTCCTGAGTCACAGTGAAGAACACAAAGCTTGCATTGCTGTGGTGTGCTGTAGGTACTTTCATTAGTTTTGGGGAAAATTCTGGTTTCAAAATAGAGATGGGGAATACTACAAAATGCCATTGCAGTATCTGTTTCAAAATATGTAGCTACTGCAGGGATAGTTGATGGTACTTCCAGACAGAATGAGATTTCCAAAATAAAAGGGGGGTTAGAGAGAGCAAGAAGCTAAAATCAGGCCCTTCACCTTTCTGTGTGCAATATTATTCCATGCAGAACAATTTCATAATGCTTCCTTGGCTATTTTGAGTGTTTCCTGAATGGTTTTGCTAAGCTACTTTTCCCTTGATCCTTTTCTCATGCTTTTGGGTATTCAGTGGCAGTAAGGGCCCTCCTCCAATCACTCCTCCTCCAAGGCAAATCTGGGAGCTTTTCAAGTATTTCTGAAGCTGGGACATGAGCTGAAGTAGGATGCCGACCAGCTTGCTGCAAACTGACAGGTTTGACTGTGCCGTGTGACAGTATTAGTCAGGAATATTTATTAATACAAGTTTTGAAGTTGCTGATTCTCAGGGCTTTTGTTGAAGGCAGGTGATGAGGCATACTGTGATGGTGTGAAAGGAAAGAAAAAAAGAGGTTATAGTTTTTGACAAACACATGTGATGGTGCTACTGTTAGAAGTTGCATTTGAGCTGTGTAACACCGTTACTCACATGGCAGACCTGTGCTCCTGTGCTAACATCGGCCCTCGTTCTGCACTGCACGTTCCCTAAGCCAGACTGTGATGAGTTCTTGACCTCAAAGTTTTTAGCTTCGTAACCTTTTCTTAAAGATTTTAGGGTTCTCACAAACTGCAAAACCAGAAGCCTTTGGGGAGCCTGTGCTCTCTATATGATACTCAGTGATCTGGCTCATGAGCTTTGTGTTTGGGGCTCAATCCTTCAGCAAAGATTTTGGTGCTTGTTGACCTGATGTTTATATTCCGGCTGCCAGCTTTTCCGAATTTTTTTTTCCTTCTGTACCTAGTGTGGTGGACTTTTTTTTCTTTCTTATTTTTCAGATAGTTGGGACAATACAGTATTATTGTTTTGAAGTGCCTAGCTCTACACAAGATGAGGGCTTTCACTGTTTACATTAATAAGGCAGAAAAACTGTAGGTCAAAATCTTCAACTGCTGTGAATCATTCAGATAAATGTGTCTTGCAGAACATTGTGCAGACCTGTCAGTGCCTTATAAGTCACCAGCAGTACATTGAACTGTGCCTGAAAGCTAACAGAGGACTCAGGAGGACTGAACTGCAGTGTGTGTCTGTAGTCATGTACGTAGCATTACCTTGAATTTCTGTGGGAATTCAAGGAGTGGCCAGAGGAAGGCATATGCTAAAACAGTCTCATATAGATGTATTGGGGAAGAAGGGTATAGTGGCTAGTTAAAATTATGTTAGTTCACGTAAGAAATACCTGTATTTTTTGTTCTTTCTCAGCTGTACTTAGTCTGCTGATCTAACCTTTGAATCTGGGAGCTAGGTGATAGTGAGAATCTGATGCTATGTATTGTTCTTAAAGATTTGGGGATGCTCTTCAAAAGAGGTACAGCCAATGTCTTTCTCCATTAAAATAGTCTGTATGTTATCCATTAATGTAGACTTTTAGGCTTAGCTTGCAGAAGGTAAAATCTTGGCAGTATAAAAGGACATTTAAAGATAATCTTCTGTATTTATTGATAGATATCTTAAAATGTAATTTTTTTTGTTTGGATTTTTTAAAAGCTAGAGTCTTCAACAGGGTGAATTAATGTCAAAGAGTCCATATGCAGTTTTTAGATAATCTTTTCTTGTTAATTAATATTTATCATTATATAAATAAAGGATTTTGGCAGAGAGAGAGTGAGGGTAAGGAAAGACAATGATTATGATGTAAGAGTGATGTAAGGTAAAGAGTAAGAAGAGGAGAAATCACTCAATGTTGAAAAATTGCTGTACCAGTACTTTTTGGTTTTATCCTTCCTCTTCTATTGCCAACTGCCTGCACATTCCTTGCACACTTACACTGCAGTCAAAATGTAACCTAAATGCAATATCGTAGTCAATACCTGCTGGTAATGCAGCTGTGCAGTCCAAATACTCTTCAGCAAACATGTACAGCTTTTACCACCCATTTATATTTCTCATATCTTGAAATCACTGGTTTGAATATATCATATGTCCCTGCATAAGTATTATGAAGGATTTCTAGTTACCATGTAATTTATTAAAATTTCCAGTCCTCAATTTTGTTGATTTACTTATTTCTTAACATACTTTTTAATGTACTGATGTAGGTCATACTGTATTGCTGTACCAAAGTTTTCATGGGGTGAGAGCTCAAATAGGGCCTCTGTTCCTATCAGGTATTATGACAAACACATTTGGTTTAGGTACTGAAAAACAAGTTATCACCACTGTGAATTTTGATGGCACATCCTAGGGAAAAATTTCTTCATTCTGTTCGTAAAGAAAGATAAGGCAGTGTGCTGAAAAATTCAGGCTTCCCCATGACTAGTTTTAAATGATTGATTATGAAAGGCTAAATAGAGTAAATAAATTCTCCAGTAATTTAGGTGTTAATTTGCAGTGTTTATGAGAGATGTCTGACAAATATAGAGCATGTCAGAGTTTTGTGCTTGCATAGCTGTGTCTGCGATCCACCTACTGGAGATACAGCAGAAACTACAAGAACATTTTTTTCCTGCTGGCTTTTCTTTACCGGATTGTGTGAACTAAACTGATAAAGGTGCCCTTCTGCTAGCAAAAGTTTGTGTCTGGGTTTGATTGGCATCACAGTAGCAGCTGCAAGGTGCCACATCTTTCATATTCCTCATTGGCGTACGTATGCTGATAGAACTTGGTATAGGATGATTGCATCTGGCAAGAATAAGAAATGAACTTGGTTTATACCATTTGCAATTTAAAGTAAATTACATTCAGAATGCACAGTCTGAAATAGTTTTCCCATTTATCTTCTTTCTACAGGAATGAGCTAGAACGCCAGTTTCTTGAGCTGTTGCAGTTCAACATTAATGTTCCCTCCAGTGTTTATGCCAAGTATTATTTTGATTTGCGTTCCCTGGCAGAAGCAAATAACCTGAGTTTTCCTTTGGAGCCCCTCAGCAGAGACAGGGCATATAAACTTGAGGTAAGACACTTGCTTTTTAGATTGCTCAGAGTAGGGATTTGGGATTTTTGCGTTGTTTCTCCCTTCTCCTATCTCTTCTGAAATATTCCCATCAGATGTTAGACTATCATGTGCCCCATTTTCCATAACTCTTTTGTTTGTGCTTTGGGTATTCATGGACATGGGGACAGTTTTTTGGCCCAGTTCACTTCATGCCATGTCTTGCTTTCCATTTCTTTTTCAGTTCCAGTTGTCTGAATTGACCTTGCAAAAGTGCATGCAAGTTTTACAATGACTTGATTCACAGTCTGGTTTTGTGCATTAGTTTGGTTTCTTAAAACTGATTATCCACTTGAAGGACAGAATATTAACAAGTACTACTGAAGAAAACTATTCCGTGTGCTTGTTATCTGCTACTGCTCCACTTAGTGTGGATGCAAGTCTGTTACCTCCTGTGGTGTTTTTCTCAGTAATGGGCAAACAGAAACGAGCACACATCTTTAGTGAATAAATCATGAATGCTTATGGACCAGAAAGCACTGTGTTGGATGGTCTGGACCTGTGAAATGCGGGGCACTGTGAATTTCCACAGACACAGGAGGAATTTAAAATCATCTGACAATTGTGGGCACTTTGCAAGACTAGAATCTATTTTTCCTGAGTTTTCTGATACGAGGTTTTTAAAGTAAGGGCATTATTGCATGAGAGTGTACACATTTTGTTACTGATTTTGAAATTTGTCATTAGATGCTAACTGCTTTTAATGTTGCACATCTTAAATTATATAACAGCTTTGCACTGGAGGTTGTTTGCCTGTGGGTTAGAGTGAGCTTTGCATGTTCTGAAACTCCTAGTGCTCCTGTAAAAAAGGCAGGCAGTACTATACAAGTTTTCGTGGGGGTAAACGGTACGTGGGAAGATTAATTGACTTGTTTGTGACTGTAATGGGAACAGAAAGTGGCGGAGAAAGAATCAAAGCAGATTTCACTGAAGTTGTATTTCTCATTCTTTCTAAATACTCTTTCTAAATTTCACAGATAACTCTAATAAGAATGTAACTGAATTCTGTGTATGGAGAGTGATATAAATTTGCATCAGATTTTGTTTCTATTGAAGAGAATTTTAAAAAATTAGAATTCATTGAGGTCGTAATCTTAAATGAAAGGTAGTTTACGCAGTTATTCAATGGTGAGTCTTGATAGTAAGTGCCATTACATATATTAAAATCCAGTGAATTACTTTTGAAGAGAATTTAGCACACAGTGTTTCCTAACACTGTCATTCTGTATCACACATGATGTGTAACAACAGGTTACAAACACAGATAATGGTGATACCTCGTAAAACCTTACAAGACAAGAAAATGGAAAGTGACTGTAAATACCCAGAGAATACTGGTGATTCTTCTGTACTAACTAAAGAGAAGGCATATTTTAAAAGAAACAATAGAATATTTTTTTAAATAAATCCATATTATTAAAAATTTTCCCATGTTGGGGATGCTTTATGCTACTAGCAGAAGTTGGCTGTGAAGTATCCCTGCTAACCAAAGAGGATGTCTTCAGGGAAGAGGATGAGTATCTGCTGTGAAACCAACTTGGTCTACCAGCTCCTGGCCTCTGTGCCATGGCCAGAAGGAAGGCAACATGATGGGAACTGCCTTGTTCCCTGGCAATACCTGGTTGTCATTAGTGTGCACTTGAAACTAGTTGACACTGTAATTTATAGCCTAGTTCCTTGAGCACAGTTAAGCATTTAGCTTGCCAAGAGTTATCAAAATGCATTTGCAGCACTTTTCTACTTCTCTCCTGTGCTGTTCAGCCTTGAGTTCTCTGTTTTTAAAACATTTTTGCCTGGGTTGTCAAGTGAAGTAGATGTAGTACCGCGCAGGCAGTGGTATTTTTGATACTGAGAGAAAAGCTGCAGTCTGTGATGAAAGACAGCATATTCATAGCAAATATACATAGTCAGTGGAGGGATTTGCCTTGTCTGGTAAACTGAAAGGACCTTGCTCAGCCCTAAGATTTAAAACAACTTATTTACTTACGTATGAGATCATGAAAGATCTTGCATAGAGAATTGATTATATTATAACACATTTTTGCTACTTTGGCGTTTTCAAGCTATTTTGTGTATCTAAAGCAGGAGTATTAGATCTGGTGTGGCAGAATCTGTGTTGCTATTTTGGCAAATATCATGAGGTTGACATACCTGTGATGAAAAACAAAAACCAAAAACCAAACAAACAAAACCCCCTCAAAAAAACCCAAAACAAGATGACCAAGGACAAGGCTAGTAAATACTGTTCCCCATCAAATGGAAATGCTGGACAAGATCCATCGGTTTAGAGATGTTGTAAGAGGTTACAGTACTTGTTAAAAACGACATCGCTTTCTAGAGCATCTGCAGTGGATGTTTTTCCTTATTTAGTGTTCCAACAATTGGCATTTAAGAAGCAGTTTTGTCTTTTAAATTACTAAATGAAAGTGATTTTTTCTTACTTTTCATCAGCCTGTGGCCTAAAAGTGTCCTGAATTTGTTATACCCAGTAGCCAGAAACCATTTTCATGACCCTTCTTTTTTCTTTCCTGTTGTATAGCATCATGCAAGTTAAAAATGGCAAATAACCTTTCATTAGATCATCCAGTCTGTCTACCTGCCAATGCTGTTTGTTCCAACCAGCATATGTTGCAGTGTGTTTTCTCCTTCCTTTTAATTATGTCAAATGTCAAGGCTTCCTTTGCTTCTCCTAAGAACTATGTTCTAATATGGGAGGTTTTTCTGCCAAGAACGTTGGTGGATATCCAACCGTAATCCACTGTTTTCTAATTTCCTACTCATGCACCTGGTTATTCTCCTGTGTACTGAGCTAAATATGAGTCACATTCTGCTCTTTGGGGTAAGTCCACAAAACGTGCCTACCCTAGTTCTGCTTGTGATCTTAGCACTGTGCTCGTTTCAAGGCTGGATTTTGTAAGAGCATTCATTAGTGCACTCCTGGTTTAACTGACTGTATGTTGTCTGAGCTTTTTATTGTTAGGATAGTGCTTGAGCACGTAGTTCAAACCCTTTGAACTACATGCTGTATTTTCTTGACCCTAAAGAGGTACATTTCCATAGATAAAACAGTCAAGAAAGAGAAGAAAAATATGTAAGTTAGAAGTAGAGAAGTGTCTTTATATCCCTTCAGCTGCCGCAGGGATTGATTGCAGTCCTGACTGTTTTGTGTGTTCAGAACCGTCTTAGCCAAGAAGCGAAGGGAGAGCAAAACTCCCTGGCTTTTTTGTCAGGAGTAACTCATTTGCTTTCCTTTTCGTTCTCCATGAATTAAGAACTCCTATCGTCACAACTGCTAGTTGTTCTAGTGATTTTCTTTTTTTTCCCCCCATTTTTCTTACATATAACCCTTCCACTCTTAGTGGTGTCTGTCCCTGCTAAGTTCTCTCTGGTTTGTCCATTTTTTGGGGATGTTGCAGCACTCGCAGTTGCCTGTCTCTGTGCATTCCCAGCAGTGAATCCATAGCCAACTCTGCTGCTTTCCTGCCCTGCACAAATATGCACGTGCAGCCAACGTTTATACTACTACTACTGCTGCCTTTCTCCCCTCTCCTCCTTACCCACCTCCTTCACCAGTGACAAAGTCCCATCTAGAGTCATATAACTCAGCAGAAGAACTGGCTTCTAGTTCTGTATGCATATATATATATGTACACATTTTTCTAATGATTACAGATGATATAATCAAGTCCAATAAAATTTCACATGATTGAATGGTGTTGCTGTTTTTAAGAATGTTTTGATTTCATATGAAGATCGTCCCTTGCCACTGTCAAAAATTGTTTTCTTTTTCTAGCAATAAATCCAACAAAAATATCAGATGACAGGAAGGTGTTCATAAGCTATTTGGATTTATTTTAACTGAAGGACAATAATAAATATTTACAATTTTCTGCTTTTGTCTCAGTTCCCCATATGTTCTGCTAATTGACTAACTTGCCAAATAGGCTCCAAACGTCAATTTTTGTGAATTATTTGCAAATGAAGAGGCATCTTTAGATACAGAATTGCTTTAAACAGCAGTCAATGTGTTTCTTATCCATATCATTAATCACCAGATTAGATACCAGAGACTAGAGATGCCAAATATTAAGTGCCACTTCCAAGTGAAATTTCGTTTTGTCTGACCAAGTGCCAGAACAGAAATTTTCCTGTGAAACAGACAATTTTGAAGTGATTACCTTCTCTGGCTGTTTGATGTCTAAGGTTATTACCTGATTTGGCAGCTGAAAGAAGCTGAGCTCCACATCAGTCACCTATTTACCAATCCATGCTTTGGCACATTGTTTCATGATTAAATGTTTTTTGTCTATTGGATTTTAAATCAGACTGAATTACATAAACTTTCTTAGTCCATTGAGTTCCTGGTTAAATTAAATAAAATGTTATTAAGCAGTTTTTGAGTGAGGTAAGTTATGATGTACAAAGCAATGGGAATATTTGTGTTATTTTATTTTGTTGTTCTCTTCATGTGCACCAAGAAGAAAATAGTGTTCCAGAGTAGTCTTAACAAAGGGAAATTCAGTGTCCAACTAAAAAGTAACAACTGGTTTCTTGGTGACAGTGATAGGTTTTGTTTTGTTGTTTTGTTTTTGTTTTTTTTTTTTATTTAACAGTGGTTTGTGGCTGGCTTGGCCAAAGCATTAGGTGAAGTTGCTCTCCAATATATGTGTGCTTCTGTTGTACCTACCTCTGGTCTTTGCAGGACTATTAAAAACAAAGGACTCTTCACTGCTACAACTTACTGTGCTATAGAAGTAAAGCTCAAGAAAGAAGATTATCAGTGGAGTCAAGCCATTTATTTGTATTGCTTTGTTTTGTAATGAAACACTTGTACTGGTTTTGTTTATGCAGTACTTTTTATTAAACATCCTATCTCAAGACACCACTTAAAAGCATTCCTGAGTAAAAAAAATACTGGTTTTGTTCATCTTAGTTTTTAATTTGACCTTGAGTACTCCTTGCAGTGAGCTTTCTCTGCGGTTCTGCGTGTTTGATCACCAGAGTTAACATCCCAACTGATGCCAACCATAGCCTGTCCCAGCCACAGGATCTCCAATAGACATGCTATTTTAGGGCACAGTATATTTGTGCATGTGAGGTCCATAATAATTTCTACCTATGTGTAGAAATCTGTGTTTAATTTTATTTTACCTGTATAGCTGTGGTCAATGCGATTGAGTCTTTTTCATTCTTTTGTCTTACAGGCCATTTCCCGCTTGTGTGAAGATAAATACAAGGACTTCAGGAAAGCTGCAAAGAAACGGTCAGTCAGTGCTGACAATCTGACTGTGGTTAGATGGTCCCCTGCTATTATCTCCTAACAGAGGAGACTGGAATATTCCCACGGACGTACTGTTTCATCCATCCATTTTTTTCGGGGTGGGCTGGGGCCGAGGGGATACAGAAAAAAGACTTTTGATTTTTTTATTTTTAAATCTGTCAAGCTGCCTTTACAGTGCCTCCCCATTGTGTAGCACACGAGTAAAAAACCTAGTGGAAGGAGAAATGGAGAAATCGGTGTTTGGGAGAGAAGATGGGCAACAATTTTTTTCTCACTTTCGCTAAAAGCTTTACCCTTTTTATGATGAAACAGCAAATCAGGTGCTTCGAAGAAGAAACTAAATATGAAGTAGAGGCAGAAATATATTTAAGAACTGTGCCATTTTCTAATATGCTGTACTCATGAAGAGAAATGGCAGCATGAACACAAACTATGTAGTCAGATGACTGTGCACTAGAGGAATGAAGTTGGGAGAGTTCCATCTTTAAGGTTTCTCTTAATATCTTTTTTATTTTTTGTTGTTTTTTGTGTTCCTTGTTGCTGCTTCCCAGGATAAATTCTTCCCCCGGCACAGCAGCAAATACGAAGTCTGTATTTACAGTAGCACAAGCCCCTGAATAAATAGCGTTGGGTTTTTTCACTGCACTTTTCTCTGTAAGCTGTCTTATTAGCATTATTATTCATAATTATTATGCATATGTTATATTTCTTGTATGCCTTTTATTATATTTCAAAAGAGAGAACATGACCATAGTGCTGAACCAAAAGTGTGTACAGGGATCAGAAGATCTTCGTAATATCATGATGCGTTTTATTTATAGTATACTTGGGTGAGTGTGCCTTCCTAAGTTCTTGGAATCATTTATTTTTCCTTAATATAAAGATACAGATATTAAAGTATTCAGATGATGATGATAAGACTTGGGCCAAATCTCTGAAATTTGCAACAGATCTTGTAATCCTTTTTGCAGATTTTCATAGCATTAGAAGTTTAGCAGAATTCATTTTGAGAGAGATTTTTTTTTTTTATGGCCTGCCTAGTTCATTCCTTCACCTCCAGGTCCATTGTTGCAAGCAATATTCTCAATTTTTATATGTTTACTTTAAATCAAAGTGAGTCTGTTTGTATAAAATAAAAAATAATAAAAAAATTTGTTCCAGTGAGAAGGCCTGTAGAAGAGCAGAATGGAAATCTTAACAAGGTATTTGTCACAAGTAGATTTGCTTTTGAAGCTAAAATACCAACCCTCGTTTTTCAGCGTAGGTGCTTATAGAAAGTAGAACTAAGCGAATTGTGAACATGATTTTCAACTCTGATTATTAAGCTCTTCTGTTGTTGTTACTAGTTCCCTCTTACTGTGGCTGTTGCCCCCTTGGAATTTGTAAGAACCTTTTATAGACAATAACTTGTCAGTATAAGCATATTTGCTTTGTGATGCCCCAGGTTGGTATTTTTTCCCCCTCCTTTTTTTTTTTTTTGCACAGTTTAGAAGGATATAGCTGAAAACTTTCAGTTCCCTGAAATCCTTTCTTTGCGACTATCACTGAAATGAATGGCAACAGACGTCCCTGATTTATGCACTACTGTGGTAAACCATAAAGATTCCATATTTGTTTTATTAAGCCCTATGGGCTTGTAGCAAACCTAGGGGCCCAGAGATGCACACTTGACTTCCAGTGCAATGCTAATCGGATGCCTCCGGGCAGAGCAGCACTGACGGGATTGAAGTAGTAATACCAAACAGTTTTCTGTTAACTTTCTAATGTGATTTGTGTAGTTCGAGACATGAAGGTTTTGTCCATAAATTCTCCTGATGTCCTTTGGACCTTCAAAATAATCTAATTCTCATCACTTCTTGTTGTGCCAATGCATCAGAACTGTGAGTATCCAAGTCCATTTTTCCCTTGAACATGGAATGTAAGCAAAGTCTTTATAACAATACAAATGCAAATCAGAGCATTTGAAACCTCTTTACAGATAGTATCGAAAAAAAAAACATTTTCAGAGCATTTGAAATTAATCCTTTATAAGCATAAATTTAGGCTTTAAAAATAGTAAAATATTTTGATTTATCAACACTTTGCTAAACTATTTTCCATTTGACTTGATATCAGGAATATTGGTTTTATCCATTTCTGGGTGACAGAGATATGAACTTTGGATTATGTAAAAATCTCAATGCATCTACTATAATTTTTGTGAAGTTTATTAAAATACTTTAAAGATTGTATAGTCTATTTATTGTATGTATGTACATACAGTCTGATACTTTAAAAAGTGGATTCCGTAAAACCTGGCTCAGTCTTGTTTAGACTATTGAATATCATTTTAGCCTTGTGCACTGGACTCTACCTCTGTATAGGAGAATTTTCCATATTCTTAATTAGTACTGATTCTGTGATTAACTTGGTTATGTTTATTGCACTAAGAATTAAAAAAAAAAATCTGCTGTAAGTGTGGATTTTTTCTTTAGTTTAAGTTTTGCCATATGAATCCTCTACATTTAGATGGATGTTTCTTTCCCTCACGGTTATAGAATAATTCTTTGCTTTTTCTTCTGGTATGTTCCAGGGTTGCCAAAAAATACAGTACCTGTCAGTAAATCTTAATGAGTGTCTTTTGTTCGCAAGGTATTCTATACCATGTAATTAAAAATGAGTTATTATTTAGGATTATGTTGTGTTTAGTGTAGTTTTTTAAGCATTACTGTATGGAAAATGCCGTTGCAAGGTTAGAGAATCACTTGGGGTGTGAGAAGGGAGGAGAACCAAATAGTGTTTTAATTAACAGCACAAATACATTGTGGTTTTCATTTCAGAACCTGAAACTAAATTTGCTGTAAATGTTTCCTGGATTAAGGTTTTCTTTATTGCTTTGGTCACCGGCTCAGAAATGAAGAGGTGTAGGAGATGTAATAAACCTGTCCCTTCAAGCATCATTGTCTTAATGAATTATTTTTATATGTGAGCCAGTGGGCTATGTGTTTGGTCATTTATACATTTATAATTGGATAAATATTAGAAAAAGGCGTCTGGTTAGAGTTTTTATTCATGCATTCCTCTGCTGCCCAGAGATGTTTCCCTAATTCCTCTTTCCATCTGCAGAATACAAACAATTGTATTTCATTTTTGTTTACATTCAAATTTCTGTCAGTGATATATATCAATCATTCTGACTGACACTGTGTTTTGGGACTGAGAACACAGGACTTGTGTGATACAAAGCGCAAAAAGAAGAAAAGAGTCAAATCACCTTTTTCCACTTTCCACAAACCCTATCAGATTTTCAAATGATACACATTTTATATTGCTAAAAACATAACAAAATTCTGTCCCGTAGCAGGGTAACAGTAATCCTTTTCAATAATTTTATTTTTTATTTATCGATTTATTTTTTTTTTTTGAGAAAGAGAGATCAGCATATAAGGCTTCATTTCTCATAGCTTATTTAGCTTAGTTTATCACGTAAACTAAAAATGTGAAAGAAGAATTGTTTATATTTATGGAGTCTTAGTTCAGACAAACACCTTTCTCTACTTCCTACATTCCCTAATGCCAGAAACCTTAGGTACAACCTAAAGATTATTAGTAGGAAAAACCTCATCAGAAAAGGGTGGTGGTGTATTGGTGGCAGATGACAAAGTGACATCTGATATTGTTGGCTATATAAAAATAGCAGTATGTGGGAGGGGATAGAGGAATTGAAAGGACGGAACTAGAAGAAAACTAAAGCCTTAACAGCTGAAGCAACAAATTATTTACAGTCGTCCTTTGTTGATAATGAGCATCGCATTTTCCAATGACACGTTTAAACTACTAACTGAAATGCTGAACATCCACTGCAGACTCATGTTGCTCTCTGCTTCCGTGTGGTTTAGTAAGGAATTCACTTGACCTAGCTTTTAGCACTTTCCTCACTTTTGTTTCGAACACATTTCTGTAATCAGAATTTTTTTTTTTTTTACTTGAATTAAAAGTTGTTGAAAACATCTGCCTACCTCTGCAGCGGAGTGGCCACTTAGTGTCTTTAACAGGTTCTGAGAAAACAACTCAAATATAACCATAAACATACCCGTGTGAATGTGACCTAAATGTATATGGAGATGTTAATATCTATGCCTAAAGCACCATCAGTTTCTTTCTGCTGTTTCTGTTTTTTCTCTTCAGCTGAACCACATCTTGAGGAAACCACAGGACTGAGGAGAGTTTGAGTTACATAAACTAAAGGTAATGACAGAAGATATGTAGCGACCACTGTTAGTAGAAAATACTTTAAAAAAGGAAACAAGATTTAGAAGAAAAGCTACTGATCATAAGGAAACCGAAAGTGATAGCAATTATAGATTGTGATGCTGAAAATCATTGTTTCATAGTGTGTATGAACCTGCTTTTCTGGGTCCTCTTACAAGAATCTGCAAAAAGTAACTGGGGAAGCCCAGAACAACAGCTTGAAAATGGCTGAATGCATCAGCTAAGAAAGCCATGCTGGAGTTTACTTCTGTTGCCTGGGCTTGGTCATCAGGATCTTTCCATTAAAGAAAGCAGCAGGATGACAGATTGAAGAAAGGAGGGTGACAGAGCAGTACAAATAGGCTGTATTTCTTGTGTTTCTTCTAGAATGGTTGGTCTGATGCAATTTGATGTGAAAAAGTTGTTCTTTCATGCCCCTTACACCATGTGTAATGTGTTTCAGCATTATCAGTGAAGACTTTCAACTGTTATAGCTGGAGATACTCTTTGGTGACGATACACTAAGCAAGCTTCTTGGTGTGATGATAGGTAACAGTATACCTGTGTTTCCCATATGAGTTGTCCAGAATCTCAGTAAAGAATTTCTAAAGCTCACTCAAAGCGCTGAACAGTATCTTTCGTGAAGATGTCAATCGTCTCTACAGATTGAGAGCAGCAAATAACAACAAAATGTAAAAAATTGTATTTGTGAAATGCAGTTTCACAATTTGGTTACATAATTTACTTACTCAAAGTACTTCCATAATTCTGTTTCAGGCCTTCTTTTTTCTGTGCATCTCTGATGCTGAGCCTGGGGTGCTGTGGTAACTAATTCAGTCAAACTTTGAAGCTAGAAAATCTTTGGAACTAGCACTGCAG